AAAATACTCCTGACAGACCCTGGAGAGTGTTGTCCATCGCTTTTTGGAATTCCTTTGGCATGTCCGTAAGACCATAAAACCCCGTCTTGAACCGATACGTACCAGTTTGTTCTCCGCAGACGATATTAAAATTGCAATGTCGGCTAAATTCCTCACTGAGCGGAATCTGGCTGAAGGCATATTTTAAATCTAAGGACGTAAACCAAACATCTCCTGAAATATCCGATGTAATTATCTGGGCGGCTGAGTCCAATAGTTCTAACAAATTTGGCATTTGGTAATGATTCTTATGAATTTGTTCATTCATAGGTTTAGCATCCATAGCTAATTTCACAGAACCATCTTTCTTCGCCGTAATTACTATCGGAGAGATGAAATATTCACTGGTACATTTATTCAATTTAACCACGTGCCCTTCATGAATGAGTTTTTGAATTTCCTTACCCACTTTATCTTGAATATGCACCGGCACTCTCCTACCCTTTTCTTGGATTGGGACGAGTGGAGACTTGAACGTAGAGAATACTTTGTGGTTTTTGGCTTTGCCGATTCTATTGAACACCCGATGGAATTTCTGGTGAAAGTGAGATTTCCATGAATCCGATGTTAAATTCGGGGTCTGATTAGGAGACTTCTCCCACCAAAGGACGATCTGGTCTGACTTGCGTTGTTCTTACTCCCAATTGTGGTTGCATATCCAAACCCAGTAAACAGCGTGTTCTATTTTCTGATATGAGGAATTTTGCAGACTTGATATGCCATCCCAAAGATGATACATCCACAATCAACGTACCCATCAATTCAATTTTCTTCCGATTATAATCAACGTAAACTGTATCAATTGGACTTTCTTGAACCGTGAAGAACTTGGCTGAAGGAACCGTTTTTATAATATAGTCTGCTGTCTTTTTATTCACGAAGGAGGCTGGACTCCCAGTATCCACTGTTGCCTTGAAAAACGTCTTACCACAACGTAGTGTAATCTGGATGGAACGTAACTTGCCCGTGGCTGCATTTACCACCTCCAACCTTTTCACTGATTTGATTGGTAGGCTTGGTTTCACAGCTGCTACAGATAAAACAGTGAATTCCGACTCACTATCGGACGTGATGAAATTACATGTTTCTTCCACTGTCTCATCTGACTCAGCTTCCACGTTCGCTACATTCTTAGAATTACAGCATTTGGCAAAGTGTCCCTTTTTGTTACAATTCCTGCAAGTAACATTTCTGGCTGGACAACTTTGCTTGTGGTTTGGTGAGAATCTGTTACCACAGAAATAACATGACTTCGATTTATCGTTGATCTCCTTCTTCTTACCATTCTGGGCCCGACTAATCCTGTCTGAAAGTTTCTTACCCTGGACAGAGAATGTGGGTTCCTGTTTTATCCGGGAATTCTGACCCATAGTATTACCTGCCTGGGAATAGTTACCCGACGACGACGAACTCCCGAGTTGCCTTTGCAAGTCGGTTGCCGTCTGTGCTCCCTTTTCTTGCAGTAAAGCTGATTTCAGAGAATCCTCCGGAGTAGCACCTGGGTGAATGCATAATTCTCTCTGGATATCCTTATATCTCATTTTTGCGATGAATATATCTCTGACGACTTCCTTTTCTTGATCAATTGTCCATCCACACAGGGCGGCTTGTCCCGTCAATCGTAAATAGAATGCTTCCAAATTTTCTCGGTCTGAATGTACCGCGTTGTAGATTTGCATACGTTCAATGATGAAATTTTTCTCCTTTCTGAATAGGAGAACACAGAATTCATGGAATTCCCGAAACGTTAGTTCACTCAGATCTGCATGAGGATAACTTTGGAGGAATCTTTTCCTCCCTTCTGAGCCGAGCGAGAAGAATAACCGAGACTTAACCCGTTGTTCAACCTCGAAATAATACACTCCTGGTGCCACTCGGGGACCTTTCGCCCGGCGCTCTTCATTCATTTCTGTGACTTTCCGGACTGCTGCGTCATTACGTGCAATACGACTTGCGATTGCTGCAGCATCTTCATCCGCCCCTACGACTTCTGGTTTTGGAGCAGGATCGTCGTGTACGATACCCGGCGGTTTTAGTAACTCTCGTGGATCGCATCTCTCTCTTAGAGTAATTGCCAAGTTGAATTGACCTATCCACGAGTCCCAGCTATGTGGTGGGTCCGCAGTTGGTTTATGCCAAAATACGGATACGCCCAACAGGTCAGTTCGATCCTCGGAGGTCGAAACTGCTGGCTGCGCCATGTGAAACGTCGAAAGACAGTTTAAAACAAGAATTAATTCTCCTTGTTATTTTATCATATAGATAATATAGATAGATTAGTATTTAAATAATGTCATGACAATAGAAGTAAATACAACTCAAATCTTTCATAAGTTGACAGAGAGTGAATAGAGCGCATGCTGTTAAAGTTCAAGTGGATTGGCAGGTCGGTAACGACCTTGACCGATAATGGAGTTTAGCACGAAATAGCTAGCACACTGATGACGTCATGTTTAAGATTAAACAACAACGCACCACAATTATAAAAAAGACCAAATATAGTTGGCTCGCCATTCCAAATCTTCTTCTAATTGAGTGTAGTTTGTACTGATTAAAATAAGTAAACTGAAAAAAAAATTACAAAAAGTCGAACCGTCAACTAGTGGAAAACCTTGCAAAGAAAAAAATCATTCTTTTACTTTCCACGCGCTATGTGAAATACGAAATGTATCTCAACTAAAAATTACTGCACTTAAAAGACCAAATAGCTAGCTTATATTCAATTCTGAATGATCTCAGAGCCAAAGCAACTCATCTCATACACATACCGTTAAAAATTGGCTAGTTTTTCAGATGCTATCAGAAACAACAGAAGCATATAATAAAGTCCTCAGAATCGATAAATTAACGTCGGAATTGATACGTACACTGGGTGAAATCTGAACACATATATTGAAAGAGAGGCGAAGTTCCACATCCACATCGCAAACAAACAAATCGCCAAATGCGAGCATTAAAATTTCGAGAAACTTCAAATCAGCTTTGAAAATTCAAAAAATTGTAAATCTTTGAAAAACTAACAGATAAGACGTCTACGAGATCCGCGCCTCCGACCAGTAGAGTTGCCGCTTTAAGTCTAGAAAACTACGCCTTATTCCCTTCATGTCCCCCTCATACCAGCCAGCAAAAAGGCGGATGAGAGAAACGATTAAAACACATGAGCAATTACAGATAGTGGTAATAAAAACGTTTGCTGAGAACTTATCAATGGGAGTTAGATTGGAAAAAATAAATCGTAATATCAAACGCGATGTTGCTTGGTTACCACAAACTTTGAACGGAGAAATTAAAATGGTACTAAAATATCACAAGCTTGTGTACAAAGCGACGTTGAACCGAAAAGAAAAATTGAGCGAACAGAACAGAAAATTGAGCATAGAAAAAATGTGAAGATTTCCTGCGATCAAACATAGCCAACAGACAATTGGAAAAGACTCAATGAACACAAGGAAACAGAAGGAATAATGACTTATTTTTTTGACAATTTGAAAAACAATGAGTAGCAATTTTTTAATAAAATAAACCGAATTTGAGAGAACTGTACTCAAAGGTTTATTTTTTTCCGCTGGGAAATCTGAAAACTAAATACCACTTTTGAAACAAGAAGTCGATCGAGTTTTTTGTGATCTTTACACGTTTGTTTTCCTTTCATAAAAAGAATTGTACTGAATTTTAACAGAAATCAAAAACTCAAAACTCAATTCCCAGAAAATTAAACTTGAGCGTGAAATCTTCGCGACCTATATAAGAGTTTGAATTACATTCATCGACTCTAACATAAAATCAAAACCATACGAGCTTTAGTCATTAACATATTTTCAATGACATAACTATGGAGAAAATTTCAGATTTGCAAATGATCATTAATAACAAGTAGGAAAAAAATTTATATTTGAGGGAGGCCAAATTGATGATTCACCGAAAAAAAGCTTTTTTAAAACTGTTGTCGAAAAGAAATAAAAGAGGCTTTTCCGTACTTACTTTAGTTTAACTACTGACCACTTTTTTATCGTTTAACGTATCTTGAAGAGGCTTTTCTTAAACTCGATGGTTGAAAGTTGAACTGTTTAATTCTTCATTGCTATGGCTAGTAACCAGTTCTGCAAAAATTGGAACAAAATTCAAACTGTTGAGAGAGGCACGGATCCACAGTTTCAGCAATGGAGTGGTTTGGTGCAAACTTAGTGTGTATTAAAAAACTTTTTTTTTAAGTTTAAATTTTGAAGTATAAATTTTTTACACAGAAGCGAATCTGCACTTTGGGTTAACACTTGCGAGAACACGACCAAAAAGCAGCTCTATCAAGTGAAATCAGAAAAGGTAAATATAAACCTCGAATTGGCAAAAACTCGGCTACATGTAGGATTCGAATCTGCGACCTACTGCAATCAAGAGATTTTGAGTCTCACGCACTATCCCCTCAGCCACTCAAGCTTAACAAACGACAAACACTTGTCACGAATAAAGCAGCTACATATGCTAAAAAATTACCAATGCGATTCAGCACCAAATACAAATAGACTCAATTTTGCAATTAATAATTTGGAATATAACAAACTGAAGCTTTGCATGTAACAAATCGCAAAGCCTAAAGCCATATTATCTATAAACTATGCACTTCAAAAAATTGCGAGATATATTGTGTTAGAAAATTTCTGAAATCGAGTTTTTATTATTGTGATGTTGTTTGAAACAAATAGCTTTTGTCGGTTCATTTGATGAATTAAAAATGCATCAACATTGTTTATTTATTACTATTCGAATGTCAAAGCACATGCTATCAAAAAGCTGTAAAGGTGCCCCACTATTATTGGGGTGCCGCACCGTAAAAGTGCCGCACCAATATTTGCGACTTAGGTTGGGAAAAAAAGAAGGTTCGTACTAATACACTAGCTTCGCAAGTGTAATGAATCATTTCATGTCGATAATTTGGTAGTGAAATCTTATGAATAGCGCCTAACCTTCTTAGAGATCTCACGGTCCATTCTATTCAGTAACACCGATTCGCTGTCCACATCAGCCAATCTCAACAACTCCAGAGCTCGTCGAGCACACTTCTCTTTTTTCCGGTTATAAAAATGAGACTCAATTGGCGAAAATCTTATCTTGTTTGTGCTGATATGTTGCTTCGGAATGCAGATCTGGTCGCGTACTTGGTCCTTAGACGTTCTCCAAATAACAAACTTCAAGGCTCTCATCAAGACGGATAAGTTACAGAGACCTTTTTTGACCTCGCTTTCTTCGCTTGCAGTTCCTTTTTCGGTGGTCAAAATGGGTTCTTTGAGTTGCTTTAAAACCAATTCCGCCCACCAATAATTCACGTAAAGGGGGTCTAACTTCAGGAATAACATGAGCCCGTAGATATCTGAAATATGAATACACAGAAATATAAACGTTGAAGCAGGATGTTACATCCTCATCCTCTTTCCATGCTTCATACCAACTCCTTTTTAAGCTTTATGCAAAGATTTCAATATCGTTATGAACAAATACCCAATCAATAGGGGTAGGCGGTTATCCGAAGCTGACTGAATACACGAAGTGACCGAATGGAAACTAAATTCAAGAACCGTCACTTATCAGTTTTCATTAGCGTGAAAACATTTTGATCTTGAGTATCCGAGGCTTGCTGAAATGGCAGGAAGATTCTTACGCATAACAGCAAAAAAACAGCATCGAACGGTGAGCGCTTGGGTTCAATTTCAGGAAACATGATCACCAGAAAACGAGTGACACAGGGGGCAGCAATGCGGAAAAACTCATTGAACTTATTATGTCATTTATCGGAAAAACTCATTTCGAATTTCGAGAAAAAAATAAATGAAAAGTCTAGCTCGAAATACTTCCCATTTGTCAAGCAGATCAGCCATCGGATCCGCGTACTTTGAAAGAAAACAAGTTTCTCAGCTCAGAAAAGTTTCAGAGAACATCGTTTTGGAAACTTGATTTGGGAGATCTTTATAATGATTTGGGAGAGCACAAAAACATCCATTTGTTCGACCAAAGAATGATCAGCCAAATTTTCTGTTTTTTTGAAAATCTTTACCCTAGATCCAAGTCATATGAAGCCATTTAAGACTTCAATATATTCAAAATTAGATAACTTGAGAAAAATTGAACTAACGCAGGTTCGGAACTAGAACTTTCTCGGGATAAAAACTTTCAATAAATTTTCAAAAATTTAGTCAACCTTTTTAGGTCAATCGGATTTTTAGTCCAATTTAACCAAACTTTCTGCGCCGCACGCAAATTTTTCCAAAAAAAAAGAGGCCAAAAAAGCGTTTATAGACATTTTTTGGAAAAGTATGATACAAAAATAACGTTTTTATTGAGAAATAGGAATTTAGAGTCGGCGCTATCTAACGGTCCTATAAGTTTAAATTTCTAAACATAGCCAATTGACAGTTGGAAAAGAGTACTGAACCCAAGGAAACTGAAAAAAAACTGAGTGGTTTTTCATACACCTTCAACTTATGAATTTCGAAGAGTTTGTAGCTCTTTGCATTTGTAAAACAATTTATGATGGACACTTTTTCTGATAAAATTAACTCAATTTGAGAAAACTGGATCAATCAGTAAATTTTATTTCGCTGGAAAAAACTGAAAACTAAATTCCACTTTCGAAACTAGGAGTCGATCGCGTTTTTCGGGACGTTTACACTTTCGCTGTAAGATCGTGGAGTTTGCAATCCTTTTACAGAGGCAAAGCTGCGCTTCGCAAACACTTGCAAGAACAGGACCAAAAATCATTTCTATCAAGTGAAAACAGAAAAAGTAGAAATAAGCCTCTAATGAGCAAAAACTTGCGTGTCGGATTCGAATATGCGACCTAGCTAATTTGAGTCTCACACACTAACCACTGAGCCATGAATGCTTAAAATCTCCAATAAATAGCCACCAATATTGAAGCTACATATGCTAATAAATTGCCAATTCGATTCAGCAAAAAAGACACCAAATACAAAATACACAATTTTGATAGTAATAATTTGGAACATAATAAACTGAAGACATAAACACTAACTTTGCAAGTAATAAATTATAAAGCCACATTATTTATATATTATGCATTTCAAAAAATTAGGAAATATGAGTCAAAATATTTCTGAAAAAGAGTTAATTATAGTTAAGTTGTTTGAAACAAGTAGCTTTTTTTGTTCATTTGATGAATTTAAAATGCATCAAATGTGTTGAGTAATTACTATTCGAATGTCAAAGCACATTCTATCAAAAAGATGTAAAGGTGCCTCAAAGGTTAGTGTTCAATGACTAGTTCTTTTTTGGTAAAATTAACCCAAGATTTTTGAGAAATCTTGATCAATGAGTAAAATTCTTATTCCGCTGGGAAATCTTAAAATTAAATTCCACTTTCAAAATTGGAATAAGACCACGTTTTTGGTGACCTTCACACTTTTGCTGTTTGATATTGGATTTTGCCTTCCTTTTAACAAAGGAAATGAACTGAACTAAAAAAGAAATCAAAAGCGAAACAGCGAAAAAATCAGCATGCAAAATTTTGTATTAACCGGGCAAAGTGAACAAAAAAATTACTTAGAAAAAATTGCAGGTGGGAGGAAGGAAAAAAGCCCAAGAATTTTCGAGAAAAAAAACATCAAAATCATCGCGACCTATATAAGAGTCTGAACTACGTTCATCGAGTCCTTAACAATCGAAACAACGGTGAAAAACTTTGAACCACCTACTCCTAAGCGTCGAATTTATACACTTTCTGGTGGCTAGCAAAAGCAAACTGTGGACTACTGATATCTTTAGCCCCGTGGCCGAGCGGGGTACAGCACGTCTCTCATCACGAGCGTAGTGCGTTCAAACCCCTTTTTCGGTCACGGTTGGAGGTGCCTCAGTGTCATCAGTCTCCTCAAGGTTGGACCGGCTATGGCAAAACGAATGGCATCCCCCCTCCCCCATGGTTGGTCTTGCATTGAGTAGGACCGCAGGTTAGAAAGAAACTACTTAAACCTACGGCCTATTTAACGCGGGTTGGAACGGACATCTGTCCATAGCTACTATTAACAACAGAAACCGTGCCAATTTACCTTCGATGTTTCGCCTGATTGGAGTGCCAGTGACACACCACCTGTTAACTGCATGCAACTTTAACAGCATTTCAGTTGCACGGGCAGTATGACACTCAATCTGCTGAGCCTCATCTACACACACTCTCCACCACTCCACACAGGGGAGGGGAGAGGGCAGTGCTCTGTACCTCTTCGCTCTTCGCAGTCTGCAGGGGTGGGGATCCGCTTCGAGCAGTTTCTGCTTTGGCACTGAAATTTAACAAATAGGCCAAGTGGTACTTCAAGTGAACAACGTAAAAAAAACGAAATGGTTCAAAGCATTTTTGAAATAATAAAGCTTCGAAAAATTGGTTTTACAGTATATAACACTTGCTAATTGCAAAAAGGCTTCCAAGATAAATATCAATCCAAACTATGAATCAATAAACTAGTTTTTTTTACAACTGTAAAAAAATGTTAAAAAAACCATTTCGTTTTTTTTTTACATTTTCCTATCTGTCTAGCTAGGGCTGTTGTCTATCCATTATATAAGGAAGGTTCTAAACTTGATGCTACAAATTACAGACCAATATCCCTTCTTGTCACCTGGAGCAAGGTTTTTGAGCGAGTAATGTACAACAGAGTATACAATTACTTGGAAACGAATTCGTTAATATACATTAAACAATTTGGTTTTCGCAAAAATCACAGCACAGTCGATGCAATTTCGGAAATAACAGAAAAACTTCGTTTAGATATGAGCAGGTCGCAAAAATATACTGCTTTTCTTGATTTGAAAAAAGCTTTTGATACACTGGATCATCAGATACTATTTCAAAAGTTGCAAATGTATGGGATAGATGGAAAAGATTTAAGTTGGTTCATAAGCTATCTGAAACATCGAAAACAAGTAGTAGAAATAGGTACAACAAAGTCAACGTGGATGGACTTAAAGTGCGGCGTCCCTCAAGGGTCAATACTAGGACCACTTTTGTTTCTGATATATATTAATGACCTTCCCCAAGTCTGCCAATATAGTGAAGTTTTCCTGTTTGCCGATGATACTAACATAACTGCTTTAAGTTGCTCTGTTGAAAATTTCAACAAAGACTTAGAAGCTGTAGGCAAGTGGTTAATATTAAATAAATTATCCCTGAATATAGATAAAACTGTTCAAGTCTACGTCTCTTCAAATAGTGCTTCCAACCAAAACATTTATATAAATAAATTACCTTTAAAAAATGCTTCATCTAGCAAATACCTTGGAATTATTTTGGATGCTAAATTATCTTTCAATACTCATATTGATTTAGTTCGAACTAAGCTCAGAAAACAATGTGGAATTATTTCAAAAATTCGTCATTATGTTCCCAGAGGTACCATACTAAAATACTATGCCTCTAATATTAAACCAATTTTACAATACGGCATTTTAGTGTACGGTTGTACCAGCTATACAAATCGTTTGCCTCTTTTGATGATACAAAAAAAAATTATTCGCCTAATTTACTTCAAAAGAAATTTTGAAACAATACGGGATGTATTTTTTGACCAAGGAATCTTAACAATACACGAATTACATGTGTATGAACTTCTAAAATTTGTTTTGAGATCTGTCTCCGGACTTCATTCTGAAGAATTTCTAAATGAACTTTTTAAATTTGAAATACCAACGTATAGGACTAGGAGGGCTAATTCAGAGTTGATGAAAATTCCTAATTTAAAAACCAAAATGCAGAGAATGTCGATAAGTTACAGGGGAACGAAACTTTACAATTTACTTAAACAGAATTTTTTAATGCCTAATGAATTCACTAATTTTTCACAGGCTAATATTCAAAGCGTGGCTCACCGAATTAGAGATCTGTTCATTCTAAGCAACGAAGAACTCATCAAATTTATCTTTTGCCAGAATTAAATTGAATTAATCCTAAAAGATATATTTTTTTTGCATATGATGGATAGATGAAAAATAGATCTAATAATAGGAATTAATAAAACACCATGGCTGCTCCACGGACCCGATATTTTTTTGACGTAATCCCCGGAAAACCTAGTACGACGGACTCTTTGTGAGTTTAGATAACTGAATAAAAGTCTCGGAGAAGTGGCGCATCCATTAAGAATTTCAAAAAAAAAAAAACATAAATTTTTTCCAAAATGGGCCGAAACGGCCCGCTTGAGGGGGAACCTATGCCCAATTTTTTCGTTTTTCCTATAAATCACTTAGAAATTTCATATTCCTGCCCAAGGCTTAAAATGAAAGGAAAAAACTTGTATTTTTCTTTTTTTTAGGTAAATATTATAATCAGTTCATTAACATTTGCAACTGTTTTAAATAAACTAAGTTATGTTGTGTGTTACTTAAAACGGAGATAAATCATGCCATTCCTGAGTAGGCCTTTAGACCCTCTAATGTATAATTTTATATTTCACCTTTTTTTGTTCGTTCTATTTTTGCAAATATGTAGAATTTATGCACTAGATTTCATAATAATTTGAAACCCAACTAACTACATCATTCATGTTTCTAATATTTTTTGCGGCAGCATTTAGTATCCCTTATGGGATCGTTAGCTGTCCCCTCTTTGATACTGATGTATTTATGCGCAATATGATATGAATTTTCTAGTAACATTGAGAAATTAATTCTTTCTTTCTTATAAACGGTGCACGCCAAAAAATTTAAAATAACAAATTCCTGATGATATTAACCATTGAATTACAGAGCCCACTTCTAATAAAGGTGGTTTACCATATCTGGTCCATTAAAAATAGTTCCCAGTGGTGATTAGATCCCTCAAACTATCGTTTAGAAAGAGTATTTCTTTACGATGCTGCTAGAGTCTGTAAGCCCCCCCCCCTGTTCAATCGGAATATCAACATCTTTTCTGTACACGCACTGCAGAGCAATGCACATCTCTATCTTCCAACAGTAAAAGGATCAAATATTGTCGTCCCTTACTCCTATTCTTAATTAAACACAGAGGCGAAGCGGAAATCTTTTGAAATCTAATTTTTGAAAACTAGTACATATAAGTTTTCATATGTCTCGATAGAAGTTCACTCCAGGCAAACATGCCAGGCACTTGAATTTTAAATCAGCCACCACTGAACAAAATTTACAAAAACAAACAAAGCCGACAAACTTTGAGCAGACACAAGTTGAGCCGAAAAAAAACTACTTTGATTTACAAAAAGTTTCAAGTCCCACCTTAAACAACAATGGACAACACTTGCACTTTCAACTAGAAAAAAAAGCTGTTTGCAGCATAAAAAAAATCAGTGATGTGGCAACTAAGCCAACAATCTTTGAGCTGAAACCACTTGAACCTAAAAAAAAATGATTTTTTTAAAAAATATATTTCAAATCCCCCGTGAAATTAGAATGAACCACACTTGCACTTGCAACTACGCTGAAAATTGTCTACAGCACAAGCAAAAACCGTTGTGGCAGTTTAGCCGCCAAAACTTGAGCGAACAAACGAAAAACCAACAATTCATTTTTCTCGGACTTTTTTTTTCATTTTCCTTGATACTGAAAAAAAAAACAAGGTCCGGCCGCAACTCAAACCCCAGACTTTAGGTTAAAAAGGCAACTGTTTTATCAACAAGCCAAAGGGGAAGCAACCTGGAAGATGTTTAGAGGTTGTTCCACTCTTAACCACCTCTGTTTACACCCCCTATATTATAACCCCGTAATATGATAACCCCACAACAATTTAACCCCCTTTTAATGACGATAATTTGTTTCAAATTAAGTCCTTTTTATAAGTACAGGAGTAGTCCAATTAAGCTTACTAATTGAGGCCTGAAAAGCTAGTCTTAATTTACTTGATGCCTCTAGCATCTCGAAAATAATTGCCTTTCGATTAGTTAGAGAAATAATCCCTCACTCACGCGTTTAAAACAGAGATAACCTACATGTTTCTTTCACTAAGTTTTATGAGAAAAATAGCGGATTAAGAAACAATTGAAAAAGGATTACGAAACAAACCACGAGTTCGCTTTAGCACTCAAAATGTTACCCGCACTGGCTTTTGAAAAAGAAGAAGAAATAGGAAATTCATACGATAAAATAGTGGAGGAAATTCATATAGTTTGCGATCGCACCATGAAAGAATCGGAAAAAATAGCGAAAGTGGACGAGCTTTGCCTTATCAAAGTCTAGACTATCTGTTCAAATCTAAAACGCATTTAGCAGCGTCCATGCATGTTAACTCATTTTGGTTCGCAAAATTTTTCGCAATTAAAGCTTTGATGTTTACCGCCGATATGGTTCCGAATCCTTTTCAAGTAACTTTCACTTTGATTCTATTAATTGGTTTTAAAAAGGGATTAAATTGTAGTGGGGTTACCTGATTTCGGAGTTATATGCGAGGGGGTTAAGAAAAAGGGGGTTACAAAATACGGGGTGATAAGCTTGGGAACCGTTTAGAGGAGACAAGAAGAGAAGTGAAAAGAAGTCAGCTGCATAATCAGCAAGCGATTCAACTGATTTTGTTTAACTAGTTGTTAACTAGAAAAAAAGCCTATATTCCAGTTTGATAACGCTTGCTAATCGCAAGCGTAATTAACTTCATAGCGAAGTTACCAACGCGTACCTAAAGCCATAATTACACGAGAATTTACCTGCTTTAAGTAAATCTATGTAAGAACGAAGTTATAGCAAAATTGATTGCAAAAAATTGTTTTTCAACAAATACGTGAATTTTTAAAACTACTAAATACCTTTAGCTCGCTTTGAAGGCACTTCTTTGTTGTCCTCATGCAAGTTCGTGTGCAGTAACTCTGCTCTGAGTGTCTCGAATGTCGTAATAACCACATCATACTGTTGAAACAAACTCGGCCAGATGAATCTCTGCTTGCTGCTGACTCCTGTATAATTGAGTGCTTTGAGCGACCCTTGGATGACATGTTTATCAATCTCTGTCATCCATTGGTTGCAAATTGCACTCGGAGATACTATCAGCGTTGTCTTCACTTTTACGATGTCCTGAAACGGCCATTACGCTATATTGCCTCACATTGATTCTTATCTTATATTGCCTCACATCAGTTGCTTCAATTTCACTTCCAAGGAATTTTTGAGAGCTTAAGAAAAACCAAATGTGATAGCTCTACTTTCGGGTGACATTATCCAAATTTTCTGATCTTCATCTTCATTTTATTTTTCATCAGATTCCTAGAATAAATATCATTTTTTCTCAGATTCATAGAATATCAAGGTCTTTCAAGGTCTGAAACTCTGTTACCATTTTCTGAGTGACGCAAAAAGGACACACAAACTGTCTTCGATATTCAGCTGTCACTCTGGTCTTTCCATTTTTCCGTCTCTTCTGACCGATCTGTGGCTCCTCGCGATAAGATACACACTCGAAGTGCATCCACGAATCGCACTCGCTACATTTAACTGGAGTTCCCAATCTATAGGGTGAACAAAAGGCTCCAGAGCACGCTTTGAAAAGCTTAACGATTTCGACAAAAAAAACTAGTTGAAATTTAAGGTGGTTGCGTAATATTCCAGGGTAGACGTCAAGCGGGCAATTATTATGCCCTTGGTCTATCCTCTTCAGATATGTTATACAAAATGTCAGATAAATTCAATGATGACTATTAAAAATGTGTTTCTTCATTTTCTGTATTTTTGCATTTAATTGTCTGAAGAAATAAATTCTTTCTTTCTTCTTTCTTTCAAGATGTTTGATGGGTTTTTGAAAATCATGAGCTCTTATAATAATTAAAATGTTTCCTTTAATTTAACTGGGTGTAGACTGCCACCTCGCAACTGACCACATTATCTTTTGAGCCCGATGAACAATATTGAGTCCTAACGAACAAATTAAGTTTTCAAGGTTTTTCAAAAGGAATCAAGAATTTGAAGCAAATTAAGAGTTCCAAACAGAATCAAACAGCCTTTTGGTCGCCCTGATGACTGACCTGCTATCATCACGATCATCGGGGTCATGAGTGACATTTCCGCAGACGCATGCAAGCTCAGTCACCCCATTTATTTCATCATACGAGTTCAAGTTACTTAATCCGCAAACATCGCTTCCTGTTTCTTTCATCGTACCTAAGATTTCTAAAACAAAAATTTTAACACTTCTACTTTTTTCTGGTGTTTAGTTTATTTCATCCTTTAAAACACATGCCTCGAACGATATTTAAGTTAAAACTGAATTAACAATATCCTCTGAAAATGCATGCATGACTTGAGTTTCGCTTGAAGTCTCTCAATCAGCTAAATTGTTGTACGGCGCCTGGAATGCATTCCCAGAATAGCTCCCGAAGATAATAGACTACCTTATTTGTTAACTTTGACATTTCTATTCATGTTCAAGTTAAAAAAGTTCAAGCGAGCGGAAGACATAAAAACGTATACATTAGACATTTTCAGCCTATTATCTAATGGAATACTATTTACATCGGGCAAAAAAGAACAGACAATTGAAACCTTGATTATAATTCTGATAAAAAAAAGGCTAATTTTACTATATTTCTATTAGATAGTTTGAATGATTTCATTTTTTGTTAACTTACCGGAAGGGAAAGCAATCCCTTCTATTTTAGTACCCTGCTGTCCTATATCTTCAGCATCCCGTTTGTTTTTCAGGATTAGGTCCAGAATTTCTAACGTCTTCCCTAGCCCCATCTCATCGGCCAGCACTCCTCCTGGAGTAGGTTTCTCAACTAGGGGTAGTGAAATCGAAAACTGACCGGTCCAGGCATTGAGGAACAAAGTATCCGGTTGCATGTTTTCGATTGAAGTAATTTGTAATTTTGGAAGAGTAACTTTTTGGAACAATGGATGCATGTTGGGATCTGCAAATCAAAGCAATATTTGCTTTTCAAACTGCATAAAAACATATATAAAATTTTAATTGTAGCACGATACTTACTATCACAATCAAAAATAAAGATTTCTACTGGCATAGGAAAATGAGGAAAAAGGTAGCAAAAGTAAATAACGACGATAAATTAGGCGTATCTTAATACTGTTAGGCAATCAACACTCAGTTTGCTACTAGCATTAGAAAAACTCAAAATCGCCTTCGTTGCAACTTCAGTCCCGACTAAAATGAAACAGGATAGTCAAATTTTGAGAAGTACAAAAACCCATTTTTAATCAGTTTTGATCAAAAAATGGCAAAGAAAAAGGTTTCATAAAAAAACTACAAAGCTGATTTATTATATCCTGACAAAAAAATGGAAATTTAAAAAGCGGTTTTTCCAAATTGGGTTGACATTAGGTAAAAAATGATAAGAACAAAATGGGCTTTGAGTTCCAGCGCCAGAAAATATCCACCAAAAAATATAGTGCAATTTCTTGGTGAAATTCGGACCAAAAATTTTAACCCCAAAAATAGGTCAGGTCAATTTTGTCTCTTTTTAGTCAGCTTAAACTTACACCAAAACTACATGATCATATTTTGAGCAAATTATATCAAAGTGAGCCTCATGAGACGACCAAAAAAGTTGAAGACTGTAATCATCTAAAATCCGCCCAGAACTGAAAAAAGTTTTTACCAAAAAAAGTGGGATTATACATAGAAAAACTTCATTTCATGTTTGTCAAACAAAAACATTCATTTATGGGTTTTAAAATTTGTTCTAACTTTCGCAAAATAAATAGCATAAAATTAATTCTGCTAAAAATCTAAGCACATTTTGCTCTCATTATCTTTTGTCGTATGTTAGCCCAATTTGTGAAAAAAAACACTGTACTAAACGTAAATAAACAATTACATGTAACAAGGATAGTCAGTTGTCGTGCAAGTAGAAAGTACCGAAGACAAAAAATTTTTGCAAATTTTGATGTTTTTGTTCGTTCGGCTATGAGCAGTTCTGAAAAAAAGCATAACAAATAGGTGCATTCGATAGTAAGAGTTAAAAACCATATTTTACCAAAGTTTTCGGCAAAAAAGAGTCGAAAAACATAATTAAAAAATTTAGAAAAAAAACAATCAAAACAATGTCGTTTTTTTTTTCGTTGTTTTTAGCATTTTTTATTCTCAAGAAGGCGCTAAAAGAAGCTTGAAAAACTAATATTCCTGGAGTCAAACTAAGCTTTTTCGTCATGTATCCAAATCAACGACCTGCTCGTTCGCTTTACTCGCTATATCACTCGACCCCTTCCGACAGTTATTTTGTGGAAATTAAAAAAAAACTGAAACACACCCCCCCCCCCCCATACAAAGTTCCCCTCTACTTTCAGTGGCCAGAAACAAAAATTAAAAAAAAAAACACCCTAGAACACAATTTTTCCTCATTTTCAATCGTCGGAACAACAACCAGGTTGTTAAAGGCTCACCTGAGAAGTTGACGAAACAGTTTCCCGAATTTTTCTCTTTCTGAAGCATCCATTGAACCGCTGCCTTCTGGTAGGGCCTCAGTTTTGGAATCAAATCTGGACTCTCACAGGGAAGAGACCTGTCTCCTGAGATCAACTCCGCGTCAGTTTGACACAGCCGCAAAATAGTATTTGTATCGTCCGGATTCAGCCAATGCTCACCATCTAAGATTTTAAAAAACAAAAAATAATAAATTAGGCCAAGGTTCATACCTTTAATTCTATTACCTATTATTTAATGTATTTTCAATACATGTATTTAAAAAATGAACCAGCAAGTCGTAGTCAATAATAGCACCATAAATTTTTATCTTAACCATTAAAATTTTAGTTTTGAGATTTTTGGTAAAATCTTACCATAAATATCGTCAAAACATCCAGAACCAGAATCGGAGAAAACGTCTTTCCAAAACATTTGCCAAGAGTCGCGTATTTTACCCTTTTTGACAATATAATTAGGATCAAAAATGAAGCCAGGACTCCTTGGCAGCCCATAATCAACAGCACATCTTTCGTTAACGTATTCTGTTACAAGCAAAGTTTGATTCATATCTGCCTCTAATGATAAGGTTAAACTGATGAAAATATTCTTAGTTTTCGTCAGAAAACTAACAGCCGACAGCAAATTGACATCAGTATATAAAGGTTCTGACAGTCTAAACTTCAGACTTAACTCTTTATCAGAACCAATTTCTCCTTGAGCAACATAGTAATCTTCTGCGAAATCATAGAATAGTAAAATCGGAAACTTTGACTTGTTCAGAATTGTTTCCAGCTTCTGCTTTTTCTCTTCCTCTAACTCTATGAACCTAAATGACCTTGAGCGCAAGTTGATAGTGAGAGTTTCAGATTCACCAAGCTGATCAATAGATGTTATCGCTATTTTGACGATACATGCCGCGCTCAAAGCGGCATCATTTTCACAGCATAAGTTTTCAAGGTAGTTGCTACTTTTCTTTATAAGAAAGAAAGAATTAATTTCTCAATGTTACTAGAAAATTCATATCATATTGCGCATAAATACATCAGTATCAAAGAGAGGACAGCTAACGATCCCATAAGGGATACTAAATGCTGCCCCAAAAAATATTAGAAACATGAATGATGTAGTTAGTTGGGTTTCAAATTATTATGAAATCTAGTGCATAAATTCAACATATTTGCAAAAATAGAACGAACAAAAAAGGTGAAATATAAAATCATACATTAGAGGGTCTAAAGGCCTACTCAGAAATGGCATGATTTATCTCCGTTTTAAGTAACACACAACATAACTTAGTTTATTTAAAACAGTTGCAAATGTTAATGATGAATTGATTATAATGTTTACCTAAGAAAAAAAAAAAAAAAATACAAGTTTTTTCCTTTCACTGTAAGCCTTGGGCATGAATATGAAATTTCTAAGTGATTTTTTAGGAAAAACGAAAAATTGGGCATAGGTTCCCCCTCAAGCGGGCCATTTCGGCCCATTTTGGAAAAAATTTATGTTTTTCTTTTTTCTTTTTAATTCTTAATGGATGCTCCACTTTTCCGAGACTTTTATTCAGTAATCTAAACTCACAAAGAGTCCGTCGTACTAGGTTTTCCGGGGATTACGTCAAAAAAAATCTCGGGTCCGTGGAGCAGCCATGGTATTTTAATTCCTATTATTATATCTATTTTCCATCTATCCATCATATGCAAATATATACATATATACATATATATACACACACATATATATACATATATATATACATATATATATATATATATACATACATATATATATATACATATATACATATATCTTTTAGGAACAACTCAATTTAATTCTGGCGAAAGATAAATTTGATGAGTTCTTCGTTGCTTAGAATGAACAGATCTCTAATTCGGTGAGCCACGCTTTGAATATTTGCCTGTGAAAAATTAGTGAATTCATTGGGCATTAAAAAGTTCTGTTTAAGTAAATTGTAAAGTTTCGTTCCCCTGTAACTTATCGACATTCTCTGCATTTTGGTTTTTAAATTAGGAATTTTCATCAACTCTGAATTAGCCCTCCTAGTCCTATAGGTTGGTATTTCAAATTTAAAAAGTTCATTTAGAAATTCTTCAGAATGAAGTCCGGAGACAGATCTCAAAACAAATTTTAGAAGTTCATACACATGTAATTCGTGGATAGTTAAGATTCCTTGATCAAAAAATACATCCCGTATTGTTTCAAAATTTCTTTTGAAGTAAATTAGGCGAATAATTTTTTTTTGTATCATCAAAAGAGGCAAAAGATTTGTATAGCTGGTACAACCGTACACTAAAATGCCGTATTGTAAAATTGGTTTAATATTAGAGGCATAGTATTTTAGTACGGTACCTCTGGGAACATAATGACGCATTTTTGAAATGATTCCACATTGTTTTCTAAGCTTAGTTCGAACTAAATCAATTTGAGTATTGAAAGATAATTTAGCATCCAAAATAATTCCAAGATATTTGCAAGATGAAGCATTTTTTAAAGGTAAATTATTTATATAAATGTTTTGGTTGGAAGCACTATTTGAAGAAACGTAGACTTGAACAGTTTTATCTATATTCAGGGATAATTTATTTAATATTAACCACTTGCCTACAGCTTCTAAGTCTTTGTTGAAATTTTCAACAGAGCAATTTAAAGCAGTTATGTTAGTATCATCGGCAAACAGGAAAACTTCACTATATTGGCAGACTTGTGGAAGGTCATTAATATATATCAGAAACAAAAGTGGTCCTAGTATTGACCCTTGAGGGACGCCGCACTTTAAGTCCATCCACGTTGACTTTGTTGTACCTATTTCTACTACTTGTTTTCGATGTTTCAGATATCTGCCACATCGTAGACTTGAACAGCGATGTGGCATCTGCTTCGGAAACCCATGATCATCTTCATCGTCTATCACGCCTCGTTTTCGTTTTGAATTACTCTGACTGTTCAGATTTAGCTCGACAGCGTGTACTCTCGAAAACTCGATGAGATTTAAAACCTGTTCTTCAAAGTTGACATTTTCGGTACCGGTCAGTGACCAGGTTTGAGAGCAGCGGTCGCGTTCCGGTAAGAAATTGGGCGCGGACTTTTGCCGAACCATTTGATAACTTAAAGCAGAAAAATGGGAAAACTAAAACGATAAAAAGCTATGTGACGCATCATTTCGCCAGGGATGGCAAAATCCCATTAACTCATTGCAAAAAAAAAGACACGAGTAGACGATTGCTGCGCAAGTAGTCCAAAAAATTCGAGCTGGTGTCATTTTTTGTTCAAGGTATGACGAGATGAACTAAAAAAAGCTGAAACGCAAGTAAATTGAACATTATCGACTAAACTAATCTTCAAAAATTGATCTTCCAATCCAAATTGCAAAAGTTTTACAAAAATTGTTTTGAAACTCTTTCTAATTTTTTGCAGATTTTTCAAATTGAATAACCAATCCAAATTTCTTTCTGGATTAAAAAAAGTATTCCCAAAGAAATTGGTAAATGAATTCTTGAAACAGAGAGATGAAGCGGAGCTTCGCATTGCTTGCGATACAACACTAACATCAAAAAAGACAAAAAAAAGGTCTTCCCAAACTTTCGTATGTCCCTAAAAAAAGATCATGCGAGACAATCCTACCCAGCTAGACATTTGAATAATAAATTAGCAACAATGGCTCGATAGCCATTCGCAGCAACCACTATACGGTTATATGACGGAGCACCCAAGTGTGCATACTAAATACAAGCTGCAAGGAAGTTAATTTAATTGAGTGGGTATCGCTCAAGCTCTTTAATAACCGCAGAAACTGCGCAAGGAAACTTTACACTGAAATGTGAAAAAAAGGCATTGTACTTCAACAAAAAGCCCACTTAAGTGATAAAAACTAACCAAACCTGATTGAACCTTATCAATTAGTTTTATTGTACTGGTAACTAACTCTCAAGTTAAACTCGAAAACAATCAAATAAAAAGCTAGAAAAATTTTAGTTTTAACCAGTTAGGATACATCAGCATTTTATCTACCGGCATTTTATCTACCAAACATAGCACAAACAAATGGAAAAGTGTCAACAAACTGAAGTTAGCCAGAAAAAAAAATTCTCTTGAAAATCATAAATTTTGAAGAATCTTTTATGACAGATTTTTTTTGTCAAAAAATAAGCCCAATTAGAGAAAAGAGGAGTATCTTAAATTCCGCTGGGAAATTCATCTTATAATTTAGAAGTCATTCACAATCTTTCGCTTCATTTTCGCTTTCTTAATTCGAGATCTAAATTTTCCTTCCTTTTAGCAAATTTGAACTCATCAATCTAATGTCAAACCAACAAAAACCAAGTTCGAACGTGATCAAATTTTAAGAAATTTTCCTTTTAAAAACATCATAAAAATCTTAAATTCGCTTTACCACATTTATTGAGACTTGAAAGGTAGGACAACCAACTTTCATACAATTGTCTCGATTGGTCATAGATGAAGTTCATTTTGAGGAAAACATTCCAAGAAAGACAATTGCTAGCCATGATACAATATCTATAAAGCAGTAATGGGCAGACTTCAATTGAATCGAGTTGGTAAACTTACAACCAACAAAAAATCATACTTCGAGTAAAACGTTTATTGATAATGTCAACACGCTCAAAATTGGTCTGTCTAGGACAAGCCTGTTGAGATTTCGAGACCTCGGAGGAGATGAGTCCCGCGAAAAGAAGTGAATGGGAAAATATAGTACCCGGTTGCAATACGTTCACTAATCGCAAGCGTAACAACCATACAAAAAATAATTAGGGATGTCGCCGAGAGAAGAAAGCAGACTACCAAACAACCCAAAAACTAGCAAGTAGTTTAATTTAACTAGTTTCTCATTTGTTTTTGATCGCGCATACCTTGCTATTCTATCTGGAAAAGAAATCGATTCATGTATGGTGAATTGAAATTATCAACTTTGAGAGAAAAAATATCAAAATTTAGAAATTAATCCATAGCTTTAGCAGCTACTGTACACTAGTACAATACGATAGTAAGAATGAAATAAAAATTCAATTTAAATTCACTTCAATTCAATTTATTCAAAATGGAGCGAACAGAATAAGATTATGCATTTGTGAATCGCAATAAATTTATCGAACTATTTATATCTTTTTGATAATTATGACAAGTTAATTTGGGGGATTTGATCAATTCTGTTTATAGTTGACTACCAATTTCAATTCATTTGGGACCATGAGTAGAAGATTTTAGATACATTAAAGTCCGTTAGTACTACTATACTGTTTTTCCTTACAGCTTACACCAGTCGAATAGCAAATTTATAACAATGATACAATACAGCACGAAAAAGGAAGAATCTCGAAGTTTTTATGAGGTGAAGAAGCGATTTGATGAATTTTTCTTGGGAGGGGGACGAAAGCCAGAGTGGAGCTAGATGCACGTTCAGTCTTGAAAGAAAAGTCAACGTTTCAGCAGCGGTCTAAAACGATCTCTATCATTTAATAAATAATCTAATTTCCTAAATAAAACGTCTTCCTTTTTGTCTCTGTAATTTTATGGCGCGTTGAAATACAAAATTCAGTGTTGAAAATTGAGTGAAGTGGAGGAACTGATTATTTCGTGAGATGGGTACACTTCTCCAAATTAGGGACTCTTTTAGCTGCGATGGTGTCAAATCCACCCTCCCCAATTACGCCCGTACCTGCGCTTTTAATTAATTCAAACCTGTCTTAATTCTTTCAATATTTTTAATGCAGCGTATTCAGTTCAAAACAAACGCACACAAGAGTCAAACAGATAAGTTGCATGACTTGAACAAGAAAGCATCTTCAGTCAACCCTCTTTTGTCAATTTTGCCGGAATTAGCATACCCTTTCCAGCGTCCGGGTCAGCAGAGCAAGGGAGAGTTTTTAAATAAAGAGGAGGGAACGAAAGGGTATTTTGGCTTGTCCTTTTTACCCGGTGTGAGCTAGTAGGCATAGGAGAGATACTTGAGAAAAGGCTGCTGGGATAAATATAAATCGTCCGTTTAATTACATTCAAATTACACATTTTTCATTCTGGTTGGTTACTAGTTCCCATTAAGCTTGAAAAAAGCTGATTTTTTGTACTTTATCTACATGCGGACACTAATACGGTTCCATCGGCGCTGCTTTTAGAAGAACCATTGACAAAAATAAAATGGCTGAAATGCAAACTCTTTGTTTACCTTAGTTTTTGTTTCTAGTATGTATCATTTTTGCGATTCTGGCCTTCAACTGAAACTGTGACCTTTTTAACATGTCTGAATTGAAAATTATGTTCAAACTACTTATCACTAAATTAAACCAGTTTCCTTGGAAATTAAAATATGGAAAATAAACAGCAGCTAAAAATCTACTCAATTAAGCGGGAAACCAATAGAAAAAGTGATTAGCAGTTTGCAAAAACATCGCAATTGACTACAATGCAGGAAATTCAAAAATCTAAATGATTAAAGCCATAACAAACGAAACGACCTTTTCACATGTGACAAAATGGTAACGCTAAGCAATTGATTTCAAACACAAACTCAAAATTTGAAGTCAACTGTTTTGATTTTTAGTATTATAAAGAAAAAACTGAAACTTTTCGCTTGGCTTGCAAAAATCATCTGTTGACTTCAAAATGCGAAAAATTAAGAAAACTACATCACAGTTTTACAATTAATTCTTTGAAGTTGATGAGGCATAGCACTGTTTGAGTTCGTCTGAATTGCAAAGGGAATTCCGGTAAAAGTCTCCACCGGCTGCCTTCGTTTGCTTGGACACTTCGGATGTTGGGACTCATGGCGCTCGAAAGAATCCAAATTCAAAAAGCAAGCAAAGACACTCCGGCGCAACTGAGTCATCAACATACGCTGGAGGCAGTTTAAATTCGAGACTTTCATACCAAAAACATCGTCAACGTATCGAAAAAGAATATATAAACGAATGTTCGTTGACAAAATTTCAATGCGCTGTTTCGTGGAATGGAATTCATGTAATGCGCAACAAACAGTCAGTGGATAATAGTGGCGTAGAAATAAGGTATTACTTCTATAAAAACAACTATCAATTTTGAGCAAGAGTAAAAATTTTTTTAGTGCTACACCGAAACTCCCAGCACGCCAAAGGTACAAGGCTGAGAATAACTAAGTCTGGCCAAGTGTAACGCATCAGAACTAACTTGAGACAATCGTTTTCATCCCAACAATAACGTCTCGATTAAGAGATGAATGCTAAATAATTGACAAATTGCATGAAAATTGGTCGAATTCGAATTAAGAAATTTGTAAAAAGTATTTGTAAAATAGATCAAATTTGCATAATCGTCATTTCCGAAGCATTCACATATAATTAATTTCCGAATTACAATTCAATATCCATCTAATAGTCAACTCGCTCAATGAATCAGTCATCAAAACAGTCCAAGTAAGTGCAATAGTACTGATGAAAGTTTAGTCTGGGGTCCGGCAAACCAAGTTCAAAGCTAGAACCTAACCCGTTGACTCGTCCCAATAGAAAAAGTGAGCACTTAGTGCAATGCCCTTGAAGCGATCGAAATCGTGATGTTCGAGGCGGATCTCAGAAGAGCGAGAGTGATTTCGCAAGCGATTGATGAGTGACAGAATTAGTACAATAAGGCCATCTTGTCTGGACAGTGTGACTAGTCTACTACTGAAGGCAGAATAGAACTCAGACCGTAACTTCTGTTGACAGTGAATTAGAAACCAATTATAATGGACGTTTGCGACCACATTTCCTTTTCTCCAAGCTGCACGAAATCAAGCCTGGGTTGAATTTGTCGTTGCCGCAACACTCGCTGAGATGGATCCTTTCGATCCCGCTGAGTTATCTGCAGCGTTCAGTTCAACCTGCGAGGAGTTTGACACCGTTACCAATTCAGATGCAGATCTTTTGACCTCATTGTCACCGGCAAGCAGCGACACTTGGCCTTTGTTGGTTTCGTCGAAGCCTGTTTCAGAGGCTGTAGAAAATATAGTAGTCGTCGTGGTAGTAGTAGTAGTGTTATTTTCCCTCAGCGGTTCTGAGCCTTGATACGCTGTCGTCTGCTGTGGCTGTATGTTACTAACTGAGCTACTGTTAGGGTTATCTACATTAACATTTATGGATTCGGACGGCTGGGGGTTGTTGCTTGTGGCATTCGTAGCACCACTTAGTCTCGTATTCGGTCCCACGAAAGTTGCCGAGGATGCCGAAGTTGATGCGACGACTGTGTAGGACCCGGAACTAACCGAAGACACGTCTCCACTATCGGAATTGTTGCTCGTTCGGATTGCCGAGACGGTCGCATAGGAGGGGGGTTGAGGTGGGGGAGGACTGGTGATGGTGTAGGCGCCTATCTCCTGCGCGGGAGGCATGATGCTGACCGAGGATAGTGGCGGTCTCTGTTTCGATAGGGCACACTCCTTCACTACTGGATAGATGTCATTCGTGCTCGCTATTTTCTCCATGGTCGGAATTAATTCTAACAGTTCTCTATCGTCCATGTCATCAAACCAAGAGTTGACTGGAATCTGAAAGTATTCCATTCTTCAGAACAAATTCTTTTCAACCATGTAGTATAAAAAGTTTAAAAAATTGTTCAAGCAATTTGTCGATACAAAATTAATGCGCCAAAGGCTGTTTCACTCACCGCATTTTCTGGATGGAAAATGTAGGAAGCGGGAGAGTTGTCGATTATGATGACATCTTTCAGCTCGCGGCCTAATCGCCCCAAGTCCTAAGCAAACACATTACCAACTCAGTTCAAATTATATTGATTTACGAGAGGAAGCTATGCAATTATGGATAGTAAAATATACTAACTTTAACGTAATTTCCACGGTGATAGACGCACGAATCCCTGAATAGTCTAGCTCGAAATACTTCCCATTTGTCAAGCAGATCAGCCACCGGGTCCGCGTACTTTAAAAGAAAACACGTTTCTTAGCTCAGAAAACTTTCAGAGAACATCGTTTTGGAAACTTGATTTGGTAGATCCTTATAATGATTTGGGAGAGCACAAAAAAAAACAATTTGTTCGACCAAAAAATGATCAGCCAAATTGTCCGTTTTTGAAAATCTTTCCACCTCACGAAAATCCTAGACCCAACTCATATGAAGCCATTTAAGACTTTAATATAATTAAAATTAGATAACTCGAAAAACAACGAACTAACGCAGGTTCGGACCAAAGACTGTCTCGGGATAAAAACTTTCGAAAAATTTTGTGAACCTTTTTAGGTCAATCAAAGTTTTCGCCCATTTTGACCAAACTTTCTGCGCCGCAGGCAAATTTTTCCAAAAAAGAGGCCAAAAAGGGGTACACTTTCTGGAAAATTATTTTTTTTAGAAATAGGAAAAAAAATTAGAGTGAGTATGTAGCTCTTTGAATTTGTAAAACAATTCATGATGGACACTTTTTTGTTAAAATTAACCCAATTTGAGAAAACTGGATCAATAGGCAAATTTTATTTCGCTGTGAAATCTTAAAATTAAATTCCATTTTCAAAACTAGAAGTCGATCACGTTTTTCGTGACCTTTACACTTTCGCTATTCGATAATGCATTTTGCCTTCCTTTTAACGAAGGAAACGACTGAACATAGGAAATCAAATTCAAACAGCGAAAAATTGAATTTTCAATTTTTGTAACGGTTCGGTCATGAACTTCTCTTCTAAGCATTAACTCTTTCTTGACAAAATATTTGAAAATTTTGTTACAAAAACCTATCAGCCTGAAAAACAGAACAACTGGTCAGGTAATCATAAATTGTTTCCAATCTACGAGTTACGATAAATATTCAACAGTTACTTTTTTTCAATTGCAAATAACTGAGTGAGTTATGTGAGTGAAATGCACTGACCTTAGCGAGACTGGCGGTGAATAGGACACACTCGAACAGTTCCCCCATGCGCCGCAGGAACTCGTCCACGTGGGGTCTCTTCAGCACGTAGACCTGGTGCACCGTCAAGTCTATTTCGATCGGAACCACAAAGTCCGCGTTGTCAATCGGCTAAACAATTACTCGCATTACAGAAGGAAATATAGCCAACAGATGGTTGGAAAGGAGTCAATGAACAAAAAAAAAAACAGAAAACGAACTGAATTGTTTTTTATTGAAAAATTCAACTTTCGTATTTCAAATTAAAAAAATATATGACCTAAAAGCCCTTTGAATTTCCAGTAACATTTGTTTTTGGCATTTTTTGAGAAAACTATTTCAATTTGAACAAACTGGAGCATTAGGTGAAGTTTTTATTGCGGTGGAAAATATAAAACTAATTCCACTTTCGCAGCAAGAAATGGATCACCTTTTTTCGTGCCAGTTTCTCTTTCGTAACTGGAGTGCTGATACTGCTTACCTTTCATCAAAACATAGCCAATCGAAGATTGGAAAAGAGTACCGACCGGAAGTAAACAAAAAAATCACTGACTTTCTTGAAAAACTTTCGATATTCAAAGAAAAAAATAGATGCCCTTAAAGCTCTTTGAATTTCTAGAACAATTTATGATTGGCGCTTTTTTGATAGCATGAACCCAACTTGAGAAAACTGGATCAATAGGTAAAGTTTTCATTCCGCTTGAAAATCTTAAAAACAAATTCCGCTTTCGAATCTAGAAATCATTCACGTTTTTTCGCGCCATTTGCATGTTTGTATTTGGAGATTGCTATTTACGTCACTTTCAGCAGATCAATTTTAATTGAACTCAAAAAAAGCACTATACCTAAGTGCATGAATATTTTAAGACTTTTTCATGAAAAAAAAATCAGCAAGACTATATAAGAGTCTTCACGACGTTCATTACTCTTAATTAACTTGAACTGAACTCAAAAGGTGCACAAATAGCTAAGGGCATTTATAACACCATTAATATATATATGAATGCACTTTCTGTTGTTAAACCACTTTAAGGCTTTTCCTGAAAAAAAAAACGAAAAAAAAAAACATCACGACCTATATGAGAGCCTGAACTACGTTCATCGACTCATAATAAAAATACAAAAAATTTACGTATCCTTTTTTATGAGTCATTGCTTCTATGAGAAATACGTTTTTTAATGCTCTTTCAAAGTTTTAGACCTGATTCAGTCCAATAGGTGGACAAGATTACCAATGATCACAGAGAACCGGATCGATCAGAGCGCTCTGTGTCAACAGAAACCACACTTTTGTGTCAGGGTCACTTTCGCATTTAGAAACCACATCTTGACTGAGGATAGAAAAAGTTAGATGAGTAATAACCTTGAATGAGCTATGGACTAGTGTCTCGTCCAGGTCGATGACGACACACTTCTTGTTCCGATCCAGGGGGTTCTTGCAGGGCAGGAGAGAATGACCTCGATTCTAAACAGACGCAACCATACATAGGCACTGTCATTTGCGGCCTCTAGCATGTAGAAAAACGGGGTGCCTTCCTTGTTAATTAACTATTATGAACTAACATACAGTAGCAAATTTGATAAAAATCAAACGACGTAAATACAGAGGTCAGAAAATGTTTCTTAAACATCCGACCATTAGCCCAACCCCAACAAGTTTTCGAAATCATTCCCCTTGAAAAATTTTTGAGTAGAAAGCCATCCCAACAAAAGCTAGAAGCTTTTAAATCTAGATTTTAAAAGAATTGACTCACTGTGGCTGGCTGCTCCGCGGCAGTTGTGTTGGCCAGGGGAGCTACTGGGGGGTTGTTGTGCTCTGGCTTGGGCTTCTTACTCCTGATCTTCAGACAGCAGAAGAGAGAGCGGAAACAGCCTCCGCCTCCCGAGTGTCTTGAGCCACCACCGGCTGATCCACCCGCCGAGTCCTTGTCTTTCTTCTGGCCATTGACTCCAGCCGCCCCGTCGGTTCCAGAGACGAAATCTAAGAAGTTCCGGTTGACCAGATTAAACAGGGAAGAGCTAGTGCGCATCTTCTCGCACACATCTGCGACGCCACCGTACAATAACTCGTGCCCGTACTCGAATTATCACCAGGTAAAAAATTAACTAAGTTAATAAAAACTATTCGCACAAATCTCACATCTCAAAAATCCTAAAGCCTGAATCAAGTAGTACTCAAAAAAATATAAGGACAAAAAATGACAATAAACTAAAATCATTGTAATGGCAAACTTACAATACCAACAAGTTAAGCCTCTCAGATGACAAAAAAAAACAGATAGCTTTAAATATTCTGGCTCGAAAAAGTTACGCTTGTATCAAGTTGTGAAGAAAACTTTATGCTAGTAAACATAAGTAGAACAAAACACAATGAAGAAACGTTCAACGAGCTCTAAAACGTTGTGTGTTAGTTAGCTCATAAAAACACTTACTGATGTTTGTCAATCAGTTGGAATATATATTTTTTCTACGAATAAGTCCAACCAACATTTAAAATTTGCAGTACGGTTTAGTTTAATTTTAGGTACGAATTGTTTAATTTAAGCCCAGCGCAAATATTATGATGTAAACTGACAGCCAAAAGTTTGCGACGATTTCAAACCTCTTCTATATAATGCAAAGATAAAAAACTAATAGGCGCTTATATGTTCGACATGAATTCAACTTTCTCATGATGAAGTAATAGCCCAGATTTCAATCTTACAAGCGTTCAGCATCATTCCACTATGTGTCTTTTTTGAGTCACAAAAAACTGATAACACATTTGAAAACACTGCTTTTTAGCCCCAAAAGCGTAGAATTTTAGCCCCAAAAACAAGAATAGCCAGTTACTGTGCAAGTAACACACTGTTCCGACCATAGTCTTAAAAAACAAAAACTTTTTCCCTTCAAATTAGTATAGTTTTTTCATCGTGGTGTGATAAAAGGATCTGAACGAAAAATTACAACAAGGCATATTCGACAGTAATGGTAAAACAGCCAAACTGGACAACAGTTTTTGAAGAAAAATGACAAGAAAAACAAAACAAAAATCATTAAAAAGAAAAAAAAATTTCCGGTTTTATTGCAGGAAATTTTCGAAGTTCTTGATTTTCAAAATGGCGTTAGTGAAACTCCAAAACAAACTAAAATCACTCGAGAAAAAAGCGGCCTAAATTAAGCGTAAATAGGCACGCTCACTCGCTCGAAGTAAGACGAAAAATCGACACGGGAGAAAATTGTTGGAAACTTTTCAAGGTCGTTTGAATCACGACTGAAAGGGCTTTAAAATGCTATATCAATCAACTCATTCCGATGATTATTAGTGATACCCGATTTTGCATGGAAAACAAAAACTAAAACCCACCCGAATACACAGTTTTTCAAACGGTCGGAATAACAAGTAATGCACAGAGAAGAAGCAGAGCTTCGAGACACAAGCAAGGCAACAAAATCATAACATTGCAAGCTAGTGAATGAAAATCAAGACAGAAAGTCTCACAATTCAACTTTTTCCAGTAAAAAAAAAACAAACAATTTCAAAAGTTTTTCAAAACCTCTTTATTTTCGATGTTCGACCGTAGAGTTTGCCTCCTTTTTCTCTCCTTTAACAAAGGAAATGAATTGAACTTTAGGCTTGAATAATTTAAAAACTTTTCCTGAGAACAAAAATCATCATGCGCTATATAAAAGTTATCACTACGTTCATCGACTCTTAACATAATCCGTCCGGTATTCGAACTACAAACCGTAGGGTGCAACGACACCAGCATAACCACGAGACTAAGTGAGAAGGCGAATATAATATGTTAAGGTTCAAAAACAAAGCACGTTTAACTTTTTACAGATTTGTATGAAAAGTTATTTTAAGAAAAATCTAGTACCCGCTTACAAGTCACTTGCTTTTGCGAGCGAAACCATTTTAAAGAATTGTGAACTTCAACAATCTTCTATTTTTGAAAACTTATAATTGAGAAAACTGGATCAATATAAAAAAAACACAAGAAACACTTTCGAACTGAACCCTTTTTTGATTGGCGAATTTGATTCTTGCTTCCAAAAAATCAAAATTCAAGCCACCAAAATGAAAACAAATGAACATACTAAAAGTGAACTTTAATTCACCTAAAAATGTCTTTCGCTATGATTATGATGACCAATTATGAAAAATAAATGAATATGATTACCAGCAAATGAAAAGACAAATAAACACTTTAAATGTTTTTTTTTGTAAAAGCTAGAAAAATTGCAAAAAAGGACAAAAAAATCGTACAACAAAACCACCTGCACGATTAGGAAACTTTAAAAAGAGCTTTCAAAATGCTGCGGGACCCAAGTCGACAAAAATTAGCAGACACGAAAGTCTATAGAATATTCGAAAATGTTCAGTTTCGACAAAAAAAACAGGCCCCGACTGAAGTCGAACAACTGGGATTGGTCATCTCAAGCATGGGTGTTGCTGCTGCGCTAAATGCACTGAAAACTCCTTGAATTCATAAAGAAAACAACTTTTAAGCATTTTAAACGAACATGAAAAAAATTAAAAAATTGCAAAAAAAACAGTCAAAACTTCTTGAAACTCAATTACTTGCCCTAAACCTGAATTCGAGTAAAACATTACCACATTTTAGGCAAATTTGATGCTGCGGTAACTAATCCGGCGCACTGGTGGTTTTTGTGAACAAGCCTCCCTGAGAAAATTTTTGTTCAAATACTGGGGCATCTACCTAGACGAAGGAAATTTGGGTAATTGACATCGGGAAGGACTTATAAGATCATTTAGCGTCAATCTATCGATTCATTTTTAATTTTTACTACAAAAACCATGTTTTTAAAATTAGGGCTAACAACTATGGTGGTTTTTGTGTTCATTTTTGGACATGAAAAAGGTGTTTTGTCTACCATGAAAAACTGTTTCATCGTATTCTCCTGCCCATTTCCTGTCCACATTTTCAAAAGCAAGCAGGTAAACAGGAAATTCCACAAAAATTTTTTGACGCGTAGACAATTTTCCAACAACACGCGCGTACAAAAAACAGGTCCTGTCCGGATTCGAACCATTGACATTTGCCTTTATAGGTTTATAGGCAGGTGCGTTACCTCTTCGCCACATGCGCGAACTAACGTCTCACTTTTGATTTCATGTGAAGCTAAGATAAAAATGATTCAAGTGGTTCTAATAATCCTAAAAAACGTATATTCCGGTTTGATAACGCTTGCTAATCGCAAGCGTAATAGCATTCATGAGCCTGAAACCCTTGTTCCAATTTGATATCTCTTCCTAATCACAAGCGTTAAAACATGATTTCAAATCTTTCATGGCAGCTCAAATTAAATCCAAAATTGTGTCAATGTGATACATCACTGGACACCATCTGAAGTGTATACCGGTATCTGATTTTGCATTGAGGAAAAACACCAAGAAAAACGCTCTTACCACGATCAGCGTGCGGAAAAAAATTCACAGGAAGTGATTCAGTAGAAAAAACTTTTAACAACATGGAGCTGATTGCTTGTAACGAGCAAAACCATTATATCGAGCCGATTTTTCAGACAAGTTTAGGACAGTCAGAATTTTGAAAAAAAAAGAGGATCAGCCAATTTTGTACTTAAAATTTCGTTTTTCATTTTTGTATTCTTTCGTGTGAATGTTTACCAAGAGCATGATCCAGAGATTGAATTTTGTTTGCATTGAAAATCAACACATCGCAAGCATAGCATGGCTAGCTAGCTGGCAAAACGAGACACGAGCCACTAACTCGGAAACAAACACGTTTTGACAAAATTGAGTAAGTATCTCGAATGAAGTATATGTTACAGTATTAAACTAGCGTTGAAACAAAATTAAGGCGGTAAATAAGCCAACAATAATAAGGCGGCCTTTTGTGACAAAATATAACAGCTACCTTTTCAAATCCCCCGCGCAAATTCAAGAATTTTTTCGCCCTTCACAGGACACAATAGGAAGCGATTAAGTCGACATAACATACGCCGACACCTTTAACGCCGAATTAACCGTTAAAATAGAAAACAACTAATAAATGGTAATTATGCAAAATCGGAGTTGCTAACTTGATTTGAATAAATTATTAAACTAAAATTCGAATGGAACGCCTATTTAAAACGAAATGTTAAAAAAACTACTGTTAAATATCGATTTTTTTTTTTTGAAAAAATCAACTTTCAAATTTCCAAGAACAAATTATATGCCCTTGAAGCTTTTTGAATTTCTAGACCAATTTATGATTGAACTTTTTTGTGATAACAGTTAATCCAATTTGAGGATTTTTTATATTTAGTTGGAAAATTTCATAATTAAAATCCATTTTCACAATTAAAATCGATAAGGTTTTTGCTGTTCGATAGTGAAGTTTACCTTCCACTTAAAAAAGGAAATGAACTGACTTAAAAAGAAATCGTAAGTCAAACCGCGAAAAAAATTGAGCCTGAATAATACCGACTATTGTCGAGACGTTCAAAACAAAAAGTGAGCACCTCGCATGCAAACCCGGCTTTCTTTTGAACATTTGAAAAAGAACTGAATTTAAAACACGGAAGCGAAGCTAAACTTTGCACAACTTGCGATACAAAACAAAACGCCAAAAATCAAAAGGACAGTGTATCTCAGAGGAAAATAAAAAACCTTAAATAAAATCTGTTGAAAAACAATGGCCTAAAAATTAGGAAACTTTTTTTTCGCAAAAATCAACGAGCTGAAATATCAGAAGGATTTGGCCTACACAAACTGCATTCATTTCTTTCTCATGATAAAAAAATTGGTCAAACAATCGAAATCTAAAAGCTCCTAAATGTACTTAAAAACTTTGCTTGCAACCAAACAATCAAATATTCGTAGACAAAACTGCTATATTCATTGCAACAATTCGTAGATATAACAATAATCAAGTCAAAATTGAAAAAAAATTGTTCAAAACTTAAATGAAATTTTTCCGAAACAAATTTTGACACTTGAAAAAATATATTATGCCATCAACTTGAATCAATTTAATAGCAATAGAAAATTGCTCAATTCTAAAACACAAGTAAATTAAAACTAAAACTAATTCCCCACATTTTTTATATTAGGAAAAAAAAACAAATCAGAAACCTTGCAGCCAATAAAAACTGAAACTTTGTAAAAAATTATTATCAAAAACTTTCTTTTCTAACAGAAAGTTTTGGCGAGTATATAAACTAGGAAACCATGCACTATAAATACTTGAAACCATGAACTGTAAATACCATGAACTATAAATACTAAGCCGATAAAAATTGGGACGAAATCTTTGAAATTACTCAAAAATAGTTCACTCAGCCGAAAACATTTGGGCAGAATGAATATTTAAGCAAAAGAAAAAAAACAAAAAAAATACAATCGAAGTCAATGGTAAAAAAAAACAAGCATCAGAAGTAAATTAAAACGCTTAAAGCTTAAAACAATTACAGCAAATAAATAACAATGCTGCAACTAAGACAGACAAAAAGCCGACAAATTTATTGAAACGAGAAATTTCCCATTTAGAAAAAACACAGTATCCCGCCAGATTCGAACCCAGTACCTTTGCCGTCCCAGGGAGTATTCGTTACCTTCAGGGCCGAAACAGCGAAAAAAATTTGACGTGCGGTAAAGATAGAGAATTTAACCCCCCATATCTGGCACCGCTGTTTCTCGCGCCGCTTTACTCAGGCTTTTCAGGTGTTCACGAGCAGCTTTGTCGGCACACTTTTGCAGTTCTTTTTAACTCGGTTGACTACCTTAATGGTTTTTCGAGATGATAAATTCTCTTCCGGTTATCTCCCTGACTAGACATGATGTTTGTTGAAGGCACCTTGGAACGCAGGGACATGCTGGTCCGAAGCGCGCCTGATCCCGAGACGACCTAGTTTCAGCGGCAATGAGGCCTGCAGCCAGGTCATATCTGACAAGGAAGCACCAATGAGCAGGGAGGAAGCGTTTCTCAAACTATTGTCAAAAATTTTGAGGACGTCGTATAATTCGTCAATCGGATCAGAACCTCTGAGGGAGTAAATTATCCGCCCTTTTCTGGATACACTTAGCAGTAAAACTGGCGCTACTTATCAGGGCTTCCAGGAGACACTTGGTAGGCTACACGGGATCTCATCAGGGAGTAGCGATAGAGCATTGTTCGCAAAGACCTCACATTTGTCCAACCTTATCTCTAAATCTATTTTGAGGCTTCGTCGGTGACAATCGGCAGTGCCTGTATCAGAGATGTTTCACTCCGGCAAGAAGGCCATCATCGACATACCAACTGTTATGAGAGAGGGAAGGAATATCCGCATTCAACTGTTCAATGAGCGGATGGAGAGCTATGGCGAAAAGAAAGGGGCCTAATGGGTCATCTTGAACTACGCACTCACTCGAGTGGAGTTACAAGACTCGGTGAAGGCACAGATACCGGGCAGTCTTATTCTGACCTCCTCCATTATCTTAGAAGCAATGCGCACGAAATGCGGGTGCTTTGCCAGCGGCGAGAAGGATGACCAGAGACGTAAGGGTGGTTGTCACTGCTGTTGCATTGCCAGGAGGAGGCAAGAGATGACGTTTGAGCAATTCTCTGGAAACCAGCGGGCTGCGCCTGATGAAGTGCCCAAGGAAAAGACGACTGAGCGGACAAAACAGCTTTGTTGTCAAAATGGTAAGCTGGCAGTAACTCCTCTTCACAAGTTGGTTTCATTGAGGCCGGGTGGAGCTCTTTTAACTTATTGAAGGTTGACACCATGGCAGCTGCTTGACCCTTCGATACTAGGGCTTTCGCAGCGCTAATATTAGGCTTAAAATCGGTTTTTCTTAAAACTCGATTTCAGTAGCTTCCAGCCATAGCTTGTAATGATCGCCATCTCGCAAACCTTCGCCTGATTTTCGTAGTAAAATTTGCTTGATGGACACGACAGTCATGTTCTGGCGCTACCAGAACGGTTTTTGATAGCATATTGAACCGGATCACAGGAACGAATTACCGGCCTCCATTAAGATAGCCCATTCATTTCGAAGGGAGATAGGCACTTAACGGACGGTAGGGATCCGGCTTTTCAGCACTTCTTGCAGGGACGGCAGGCAATTTCCAGTTGCTGGCGGTGTGACTGCTGGCATATCGCCAGGTTGATTGTGCAGTGTGCAACCCAAGTCGAGCATAGCATGTTAGCCCGGAAGTGGCCGCAACTTCCTCGGCAACATTGGGCGTTGGTTGTGCTCTGGTGCAAGATTTGCAGTAGAAGTCTCTATTTCAACGTCGTGTAGATTCTATGCCACTACACAACGAATGCAACCAACCGCAATCGGCCGTATGACACCACACTGATCAATGAAACTTCAGAATAGCTTTGTTTTGAGGAGAATAAGCAGTGAGGGCTAATGGGAAAGTTTGTGCTTAAGTGCGGGAAAGTTTTGCTTCGATGTTGGATACGGAGAAGATATACAATGACAACGAGAAGTGCCAACACCGTGGAACTGTGAGGGACTTCCTCCGCTTGATACCACCTTGATGTCTGTTGGCAGCGTGTAGCTAGCTAGCTATTTGCAAGTTGAGATCAAAGCATGCTATTTATAAGGACAACGTGGAGGGTGGATCTTCACTGAAGGTCTCCAAAAATGGACCCCAATTTACACCAAAAACGGACCCGAAAACGCCCCTCCTAATCAGTTAAGATTTTTGAAAGCACAAATTTAGCAGCTGCTTTGTCTCCATTTTCGTTTCCACTCGCTCGAAATTGAATGGAACTTGTGAAAACCAAAAAAAAAAATATTTTTAAATTTTTAATTTCATTGGAATCATGGCTGAAAGGGCTTTAACATGATATACCACTGGGCCCAATCCAATAATTGTTTGTACCCAATTTTCCGCAGAAAACGAAAAGAAACACACGCCCGAAGACAAACTTCCTCTTTTCAATGCTCGAGACAAAGATACGATGCCTTATTATTTACCTGTATTGTCGGTTTGCGAATGATTTTTACTCTCTGCTGGAATAACCTGCTCATTCGGGTTCACTTGGGTTATGATGGCGGAAGGATCACTCATTAGACTAACTTTGACCATTAAAAATAACTTAAACTAGTTTTCATTTTCTGATACGAAAAATAAAGCTTTTGAAGCAATAGGGTCCCATATAGTCAGTGAAACTAGTCGCTGCATTCAACACCTGAAAAAATATAACACTAATTTAACAAAATTACATCTTTTTGTAAGGGCAGTAGAACCACACGCAAACTTAGATCAAAATAACTGGTTTCTGTGCAAGTGGCACTGAACATCATGGCTAGTGTTGCTTAAGCTACACACATTTCGCAACTCTTTAATTTGAAGGCATATTTCACCGCTCTTTAATTAAGTGGAGCATTTCGCTCGTAATGACCAATACGCCAAATATCGTAATGAATGTGGTTTGGGGAAATTTAGTAGGGGCGAAATCTGCCAATCGGTGATCTGAACGCTCATCCTCCTTCCTGGCACTCGAGTTATCATACACGCGTATATATAGTACCAATTGTCGCGTAATATCACATTATTACGGACAACATAAAAAATTCTAGGCAAAAGATCTACTTGCTAAAAATATCAATCTGATCATTTGATTTGCCCCTGGTCCATAAAAAAACTTTGGGTACTCGTTTCAAAGTATTTAAATCCTCTGGTCAGGTAAATATCCCTATGGTCCCATATAAAAGCCAGACATGAAACTAATATAAATTGTTTTTGCTAAATTAATTCAGCCATTGGAATTGGATCACGTATTTGTCAATGGGATATTCTTCTTTGACCGAGTCAAATTTCTGTCATAGCAAAAAAGAGGTTAGGCCGATTGATTTCTTATTTATGATAGTTTGTTATTTTTGTAATTTCTTTGTTTTGCCCGTGACTTCATCTTTATAATAATTCCAGTTAGCAGAAAACTTTAGTAAGTAGGACACATGAAGAAATGTTTACAAATTTTGTCTTTCTTTTCGTCCAATGGAAAGAAAGTTTCAAGTGCTGTATCGCTACAACAGTTATACACGAGCTTTATGAATGGGTCTCACCTTAAATGGCGGGACTAAACAAGTTCGAGTAGGAACAACTGGACAGTTAAACAAACTCCGATCAGTACAGTCTGAAAATCCAATACAAAAAAGAACTAAAACAGCAACAGCAACATAACGGCGACAGAAATTGATAAAGACCCAATTCTTTAAAAAAAAGTAAGGTAATTCAGAAACAAGGGTTAAGAGCGTTCTTTGACACAAGGGGCAAAAAGATAAGATCGAAAGAAACTTCAGATCGAAAGCATCGAGTTTCTTTGTTCCAGAGTCATCTGGCTGGAATCTCTTCTGATTGTTTTAGTATTTTGTTACTATGTGTTGGGATTTTGTGATTTGCTTTATGTCAAACTTCATGTTTTTAAGTGCTGATGATGGCTGTATAGCCGAAAGTACTCCGAAATAAACAAGTTTAATTATCTTGTTTTTCACATTGATGAAAAAGTAGTTGCTCTTTATCAAGGTTGTTATCATGGGAACTTTTCAAAAAGTTATTAACTGGGTACGGACACTGGATTTTTTGGCCGAAGTATCAGAAGTCACTGCGCAAAGTCAGAGCTGCTGTGTCTCGCAAGAAGCTTCTTGAGAACTGCCTGAAGAACGACGTGATACCCAGCTCTCTTAATTTTAGAGTTCCGGAGAATGGCTGCTTTGAACGCGCATTGGTACAAAATTTCCAGCTGAGGTTTCTGAGAACAGAACTGACCGAGACCATCAAGCAGCTGTCTCCGAAAGAAGACAACCTAAAAGTCAAGCGCGCTGCTTTTTCATCACGATTGATTGAGACCTCGGAGAGTCCGCGTGTTTTTACACAAGACAGTTTGTGCCAGTCGGTCATATCTGGAAGTTTGACCTTGAGGGACACGAGAATACGGGATTTTGGAGTGAAATTTTAATTTTCAAAATTTCGAATGGAGCCTGTCATGCTCAGTTTTCTCGCACCAACTGAAAACAAAAAGTGAAAAATCAGAACGACCGAATTTGCAATTGCGGGAAAACACTTAAGAAAACAGCAGGAAATTGCTATTCTCAATTTCCAGATACAAAATAATACACGAGTAGAGCCGTCTTGTCCTGAAATAGGAAGAGAGATAATCACGAGAAGAGAGAATAACCATTCGAACCGAACCAGAGTGAACCTTCAACGGTCAAGTTGGACAGCTTGGGTGTCCCAATGGTTCAGACAAAAACTCCAATTCTAGAGTCAAAACTTATTTCTGTTATCAAAACTGATTAGTATTGAACTTATCTAGTTATCTTATTTAATTCTCGAGTTGCTTATCAATTTAATTACTCCCTGTGCTTGAGTGCATCAACAAGTGAGTGCCTAATTTAATTTTCTCGAGAGTGTTTTATGATTGTTATGTTGAGATAGGGCGAGTTTTAGGTTGATTCATCTGAAATGGATCAAAGTTCCACTGTCCAATAAAAAAGTAACTTAACGGATTGTTCCGACCCTGTTTTTAACGGCGTTCGTGTATTTTGGGTATTTTGAGACCTAAGTATGGGAACGTTCTTATTTTCTAGAGTGGAGGGATGTTTTGGTAGTAGCCTTTAAGCTGTAACGGGTTCTAGTCTCATGTCGCAAGCGAACCGAATTGGCTCCGACCGTTCTTGAGGTAGAAAAACACAAGAGATAGTGTCCCTGACTCTTGAGCCAATGGTTATAGGGCCTATTTTTCTTAAGCCTCATATGTGACCGAAGTAGGCGACTGTTACATAGTGTTTTTATGGCGCTCCTGGGTGTTTTTACGACATCATGACTACGGAGTCGAACCCACTTGACACAGCTCCGGGCTGCATGCCCATTCTAGAGTACCGGTGGTACGGTTCAGCGGGAACGTGTAAACCTTCCGGTTGTACCGTGATAGCTTTTTAAGAAAACTTGAGAAAATTTCCTGGTACGCTCTCCGAACGAGGCCTAGCTAACCGAGTAAGGGTGGGGGGGGGTAACTAGGGGGACAAAAACACAAGCAAAAAGACAAAAAGCGAAACAAAAACAAGAAAAAAACATAGAAAAAGGAACAAAAACCATAAAACGAAAAGACAGTGACTTTGATACCGGATCATTTGGATCAAACTTTTATATGAATTAAATAGTATACCCATACTGTTTTATAAGACCGATCGTTTCGATCAATCTAGCAATTTAAACCAGTGACTTCAATAAGGTGCCCGAGTGGGGGGCGTTGCTAAGGGTTTTCAGATAGATTGCAACCTAGCCGGACCACTAGGAGACTTGACTGGAAGAGGTGACCAGCCGAGTGGGAAAGTGGTTCACCAGGATCGAACTGGACCACTAGGAGACTTGACTGGAAGAGGTGACCAGCCGAGTGGGAAAGTGGTTCAGAAGGACTGAGCTGAACCCACTGGAAACTTGACTGGAAGAGGTGACCAGCCAAGTGGGAAAGTGGTGCTGCTGTCAAGTGCAGAACAGAGACAACCAGCACAAGATCACTACAAGAGGACGCACAGGGGTGTTCTCAAGTTGGGCAACGGGTATCGTTAGAATCCACATTACATTATAGGAGATAAGTGTAAAATTGGATAAGCGGAGCCCCATTGTTTTGAGGAAGTTTTTACACAAGCAGGCCTGAAAACAGGTCTACGGTTTTCTCTCGAGAGGTTTAGCACCCGGCGCTTAAGGGATTTTTCGACTTAAGAGGGGGGCTAAAGAAGGGGGGAGGTTAGAAGGGGGGCTGGTTAAGTAAGAGGTTAGCGGTTGTAAATTGTAAAAAGGGGGGACACGTTAGAGTAACTAATCGTTCGGCATCGTCGATTTAGTTACATTAGATACTTACACGCGTTGATTATAAGAAGCGGATATCCAAATTTAAAATCAGGTTAAGGTATGAACCCTGGTTGGATCGGTAGGGAGGAACGGACATAGACAGTTTTTGTGATACCCTATAAGATCGCTAGCAGGGGGGAGGAAAACGCGTGGCAATCGGGTACCAGACATTTTTTCGGACAAAGATTGACATCGGTCAACCTTGAATTTCAGGAGAATTCATCCATCTGTTTTTGAAATTTTTTCCAGTCTAAATCTTTACATTTTGGTGAAAATTTGTTGTTGGTATTTTAACGAACAGGTGATCACAAGATACCTGCGGGGAATTTAGGGTTTCAAATAGCCTGAAACATAGAGAGGGAGACAAATACAGGGGGATTAGTATTTGGGTTTTGACCATTAAGATAGGAATTTTGGGAAAATTTTTACTAGAGCTCAAGTGGTGGCAAAAGGTACAGTGGTTCAATAGTCCCTACAACGAAGAAGAAGAGATCCGATATCCAGACACTCAGTGACAAGTCTTGGGACAGTACCGAAGAAGTCTTGAGATATTGCAGTCTGGGGACAGTCTTGGAGCAACACGGTCTTGGGACAGTCTCGGGACAGAGCAGTCTTGGGACAGTCTTGGGACAGTGCAGCCTTGGGACAGTCTTGGACCAGAGCAGTCTTGGTACGAAACAGTCTTGGGACATTGGTCTTGGGACATTGGTCTTGGGACAGTGGTCTTGGGACATTGGTCTTGTGACAGCGGTCTAGGGACATTGGTCTTGGGACATTGGTCTTGGGACAGTGGTCTTGGGACATTGGTCTTGGGACAGTGGTCTTGGGACAATGGTCTTGGGACAGTGGTCTTGGGACATTGGTCTTGGGACATTGGTCTTGGGACATTGGTCTTGGGACATTGGTCTTGGGACATTGGTCTTGGGACAGTGGTCTTGGGACATTGATCTTGGGACATTGATCTTGGGACATTGATCTTGGGACAGTGGTCGTGGGACATTGGTCTTGGGACAGTAGTCTTGGGACACTAGTCTTGGGACAGTAGTCTTGGGACACTAGTCTTGGGACAGTAGCCTTGGGACATTAGTCTTGGGACAGTAGTCTTGGGACAGTAGTCTCAGGAAAAGGGTCTTCGGACAGTGGTCTTGGGACACTGACAAGAAGTATTGGGACAACACTGAATAGCATAAAGAAGGGGGGTACTTAAAGAGTACTAAGTCAGGTTGAAGTAACCAATTGCAAAATCAAATTATCTATTCAATCCTAACACATAGAAATTTCATAAGCTCAGGAAAAGTTGTTTTTAGCAAATTGTAAATTTCTCTTTACAA